TTAGAAATAGCATAGAAGCCAGAGCTCTTGGGTTCTACTTCCAGCAGTTGACTTGTTATGAGACCTTGAGCTGATCACGTAACCTCTCTGGGTGAGATTCTGTGTTGCATGCTTTTTCAGACTGGGGTGACTAGAATAGTACACAGTATTAAAAAGAAGGCCATTGTCTTGAATAATGGTCTTTTTATTTTTTCCATATTATTCTCTATCCTATTCCTTATGCATCCTAACATCATTTGGTTTTGCTTGTTTACTACAGCTACACACTTCCTGGCTCCTAGAAATCTGCCCATTCAAAGCAAACACACACAAAAAAGCTACTGTGAAGTGAGAGTAAGGACTGGCAAATGCAGCTTCTTAAATACCAGAAATTCCCCCCCCCCATTTGTTTTCTTCCTTTTTTGTGCATTTTGTTTGTTAAAGCTGCACATAGGGGCTTGTATCAAATCAACTTTTACATGTCAATAATGTTTATTTGATATAAAGTGGAAATAATGTTATAGTGGAATTACTGAAAAATAGGAGTTGTATCTTTAAAGAGATGGTTTCAATGTAACATCTTAGACTAGGGACAATAAACATTTGGAAGGTGGTTAATTAGTATACCAAATGGGATTTCTTCCAACTGCACACCTTCATTCTGCAGATGGGGACACATGCCTGTGAACTAGGAGACAACAATTGTGTGGCTACATCTTCCAGAGAACTTTCTAAGTTAAAAAAGGATTACAACAGAAACAGGACCGCAAAACCATTTATCCAAATCAGCAAATAGAGTTCTGAATGTGGAACTGTCATATCCTTCTCAGACAGTGCCTCTGTATACCTGCATGGGGGAAGAGCAAAGTAAAAGGTACAATGGGCAGACTCTAGGAGATGGAGGGGGATTATAGGGTTGCCAATTTTGGTTGGATATATTCCTGGAGGTTTCATCACATGATATAATCTTTAATTAAAGATTATTCTTTAATTCCTGGAGATTCCAGGGCAATCCTGGAGGGTTGGCAACCCTAAGGGGGAATGACACTTATTCTGAGACTGGAGGCGGAGTCTCTGTCATGCTGCCCAGCCAAATGATGGAAGAAGAACAAGACAAGCTGGAAAAACAAGAGGCAGTCTCTAGAAGTGTCAGATATGTTTTTTTTTAATTACGGCTGCACAGATTGTCTCCCTGGATTTGATTTTGAGGTGTCATGTGTACCATTTCTTCTAATATTAATTTATCTCCCTATTCTTTTGTATTCACTGAGATTCATCCTTAGCATTCTTAGGCTTTGCATCATCTTCTCCTCCAGTCCTGGGGCTGATTCAGCCTCCTCCTCCCAGTACAAATTAGAGCAGTTACAAGGCTTGCATGTATTTGTAGCAAGCCCCTCACTGGCCAAGGATGGCTGGATCATAAGTGAGCTCTTGCCCTGCAACATACCCCTAAACCTGCTTTGTGCTAGAAGGGCTGGAGAGGGGATAATGTTGGAATATGGTGGCATGGCAAGGAAATCCTCAATGGTCTGCTTATGGCCACCGTCTAGCCCCTATGTGCCACTCTAGAAGATCTGCCCTATTGTCTGTCTGGCTCAGTTGACAGGCTCTGCTAATAGCAAGAGCTGAGCAAATCTTCAATAATCTCAGGAGGGAGGAATAAACCCTCTGATGCCTTCTGAATTCTGTTTTTCGATGGCCTTTGTATCTTCCTGGGATTTCCATTATCACTGGGTCAGTATCAAAATTACGGTTTACGATAGTTTGATTAGTTTCCGTTTTGCACTATGCTATGATCTTAAAGCAAACAATCCTGTCTCTTCAGTTTCCTGATTACCAAATTCCTGAAAGCAAGCAAGCAAAGTTTCAAATACAGGAGCAAAACAATTCCATCCTTGAGGGGGAATTTTTTTTTATCTCTTTTCTCCTATACAGGCCACCAAATTGTCATGGTTTATTGATCTGGTATGTGTTAATTTAATGGAACACATAGATAGTGCTAGGTAGGTTCTTTTGACAGTTTCTAGGTTTATTCCTCCAAATGGTTCAAGATGTTCAAAACCTTTGTATTAAAAATATTGGCATGCAAGTTACAAAACTAGTTGTAACTCTTTTGATTTACCAGTATCATGTGGGGGTGGGGAGGGGTGGGGAATATTAACTGAGTTATAATAAAAGTCAAAAGCTTACTTACACATTTTGTTAAATCAATTGTCCCAGGCCAAATCTAGACAAACCCAAACAAAAGGACCAAAGGAACACAAAAGAATGATCCTTTTACCATTAGATAGGGATGGTTTTTGCTGCTGTCATTTTAGGCACATAAAATGACTTTCTTATCTGATGAGTAGAGTTCCTTGGTCCATCTCAGGTCAGCTGGATTGGGAGGTGAAGCCCAGTAATCTGCTTGGTTTGTTCCCAAGGTCAGAGAGCAGTGAAGGCAACATCAGAGAAGCTGATATACTCCATGTCCAGGATCATCTAGGGAAAGTTGTGATACCTGAGAAATTGAGGAATTAAGTTATGCAGACAGTTAGCAAGTCACTTGAAAGCATAACTGAGAGCAAGAAAATAAAGAGCGGAGGAAAAAAGAGACGTGATCACATTCAGTGCCAGGAAAAGAGACAGGTTCACACTCAATGCCAGGATGAACCATCTGCCTCAAAGTAATCCTTGGTTTTTATAACTTTCCAGTCCACAGAAAAAACTTGGAGGCCTTTACCAGATTTTCCATCAGTTCCCAATAACTAAAACAATCTTAGCTTATAATTGGCGCAACCCTGAGACAGCCTTACAACAGATCAACAAAGTCCAGTTCTCAAGACTGTAAGGTCTTTAGGGCAAGCACTGGCTTTTACTCTGTTTGTACAGCACCTGGCACAATGAGGCCTTGATCTCAGGGCTTGTCTTCACTACCCACCTGGATAGGCGGGTAGAAATCGATCTCTCGGGGATCGAATGATCGTGTCTCGTCGGGACGCGACAATCAATCCCTGAATCGACGCGTGTACTCCACCAGCCCAGGTAGGAGTAAGTGCCGTCGATGGGGGAGCCGCGGCGGTCGATTTGCTGCCATCCTCACAGCGGGGTAAGTCGGATCGGATACGTCGAATTCAGCTACGCTATTCGCGTAGCTGAATTTGCGTATCTTAAATCGATCTCCCCCCCCCCCAAGTGTAGACCTAGCCTTAGTTGAGGCTTCCAGATGCTACTGCAACACACATCATAATAATAATTAATAATTAATAAAACAAAGATTCCCAGCATATATCAATGTCCCCTTAACATGACTTTAGTTAGGTGGGTTTAGGCCTTTCAGACCGGGATCATAAGTAACATTTTCAAAAGTGCCTAAGTGACATAGGAGCCAAATTCCCATTTTCTAAAATGATTTAAGGTCAGATTTTTAAACTTTATGTTTTTAGATTTTCGAAAGTGTACAGGGATCTACCTCTCATTGAAATCAAGGCACTCAGGGCTTGTCTATACTTACCGCGCTGGTTCGGCGGCAGGCAATCGAACTTCTGGGTTCGATTTATCGCGTCTTGTCTGGACGCGATAAATCGAACTCAGAAGTGCTCCCCATCGACTCGGGTAATCCTGCTCGCCGCGAGGAGTACACGGAGTCGACGGGGGAGCCTGCCTGCCGGGTGTGGACCGCGGTAAGTTCGAAGTAAGGTACGTCGACTTCAGCTACGTTATTCACGTAGCTGAAGTTGCGTACCTTACTTCGATTTGGGGGTTTAGTGTAGACCAAGCCTCAGTAGCCTAAATCCAAAATCATTTATGCTCTTGGAAAATTTTATTCTCAGTCTCCTCCCATTAGGTAGTCCAGTTTATTGGAATATATTGACAAAATCAATAATGATATAACATCCTCTTGTAGGTGGTAGAGGCTTCCACAAAATAACATTTCAATTGCTGTGTGTTTATTTGTTCATGAATAAAAACCTAATAAGAGCTATAAAGTTAAGGAGTACAAAGTAGAAAAAAAGCTATGGGATAGATATATATATATATAAATAAAAAGAAACTAATAAAATGTATCAGACTCGAAAACTTTTCAGAAGCCTGGTAGAAGAGCTAAGTTTAAATATCAAAGGAAAGATTTGGTGTCTGAGTGTGAACATTTATAACATGAGCATGAGACATGTTAGCCCTCGGACTCTTAACTTCAGTCCTCTCTAGTTTGAGGACAGATAGTGCTGGTTTTCAAAAACAAATTTTGTTTGTTTGTTTTTTTTATTGATTTTTCAGACAGAGGGGTGCTGAGTTTTGGGTTCTGGAATGTTTGTGCATCATGAAATCTCAAGAGTCTCCCTTCTCACATCCATTGCATGGAAGTTCTTTAGCAGCCATTTGACAATTTTGCTGTATGAGTGAGAAAGAAGGCAGTGAGAGAGTTACAGTAACAAATTCCAGTGTATTCACATGCAGAGATAGACACAGGAGGTAAACAAGTCAGAAGGCTGAGCATTAGGGAGGAAGTGATAGTCTAGGGTTACCATATTTAAAAAATAAAAAAAGAGGACACTCCACGGGGCCCTGGCCCCGCCCCTTTCCCACCCCCTTCCCTGCCCCAACCCCGCCCATTCCCCGCCCCTTCCCCAAAGTCCCTGCCCCTAACTCCCCCTCCTCCCTCCCAGCTGTGCAAAAAGGGCTGCCCAAGCGCTACCGGCTTCGGGCAGCCCCCATGCCTCTGGACCCTGCGCCGCTGGAGCAGAGCAGCTGGAG